GTGGGGTTGGGAGAGGGGGGTCTTTTTGGGGGTATGGGGAAGGGTGATGGGGTTCCTGTGCTTTTGGGGGTACATGGCGAGACCTGGTGGTCCATGTGGGTGTTGGTTATGCAGATGTGGGAGATGGGTCCCTTTTCGGGGTGCAGAGGAGAGTGATGGGGTTTCTGTGGGTGCTGCTGAGGGTACAGGGGTGGGAGATGGGGGTCCTTGGGGGTGCAGGGGAGGGTGATGCCAGCGCTGCCCCCACACTGTGTGTATGCCCCTCTTCCCGCAGGGACAGCAAGGACCTGGTGGAGTTTGCCCGGATGCACCCGTCAGGGGGGTGTCCCGGGGAGCTGACCCCCCACCTGATGATGGCAGGGGGCTCATCGCTGCCAGCGGGGCAGCTGGGGGGAGACCCCGCTGCCCACGCCCACCCTGCGCACACGCACTGGCTGCCCCGCACCCGCAGCCCCTCCATCTGGATGGGGGGGCACTCCTACGGTCAGTGGGGGGGCTCCAGGGGCTGGGTGGGTGCTGACCCCCCACAGTGGGGTGCTGACAGACCCCTCCTCCATCCCTGCAGGCATCGGGCACCCGGCACTGCACCAGAACCTGCCCCCCGCCTTCCCCACCTCCATGCCCAGTGCCATGCAGCCCGTGTTCCCCCTCGCCCAGGACCCCCCTGCCCAGCTCGTCATCCTCCCCACAGAGCCCCCCGCCCACGGCACCCCCCACACGCTGGGTGAGGCTGGGACCCCCACTTTGTGCTGGGGAGGGGGTTCCTGGGTGCTGAATGGGGCTGGGGGAGAGGAGATGGGGTCCTTGGGGGTGCAGGGTGGGAGATGGGGATCAGTGGAGTTCCTTTTGGGGGTTCGTGGGTCGGTAGTGGGTTTTCTGTGGGTGGTGTTGTGGCTGCAGGGTGCTTTTGGTGGTACAGGGGAGCGTGTTGAGGTCCTTCCAGGTACTTTGGGGGTCTAGGGGCGGGAGATGCAGGTCCCTTCAGGTGCTGCCATTGTTGCAGGACTGGGGTTGGGCACCACTGGGGTCTGCAGGGTGACCCCGAAGTGTCTCCCCAGTTGACCACCTACCCTCTGCAGCCGACGTGATGGACCAGGCGTCGCTGTGGCCCCCCATGTACCCAGGCCGGGGTCCCAGTGCCCACCTGCAGCACACGGGGCAGCTGCCCGTGTACCCACGGTCGCAGTTCCTGCGGCAGCAGGAGCTCTACGCCCTCCAGCAGCAGCAACAGCAGCAGCAGCAGCAGCAACGGGCAGCCCAGGCCCTCGAGATCCAGCGCCAGGCACACGGCCAGGTACCAGGGGGCTGGGGGATGTTGGGGGGCTGGGGGTGGAATGGGATGTGGAGCTGGCTGGAGGATGTGAGTCGGGATGGAGGTTGGGGTGGAGGGTGGGGATGTGGGGCTGGATGTGGAGGTTGGGATGGGAGATGTGGGGCAGCGTTGGGAGGCTGGGGACAGGCAGAGGAGCAGGGACTGGGCAGGGATGTGGGACTTGGATGGGGGGTGAGGTTATAGGGTGCTGGGCTGGGTGGTGAGGCATGAGTCTGAGCCATTGATCTGGTCTGTGTGGGGCTGGACGAGGCTGTAGGATGCAGGGCTGGGCTGTAGGATGCCAGGCTGTGGGGCAGGGACCAGGCTGTGGGGCAGGGGCTAACCCATGTCGCCTCGTTGTCTCCCACAGCGGAAGCCGGAGGAGCAGCCCCTGGAGCTGGAGGAGGGGGGTCCTGAGAAGCCCCTCAAACCCTCCCACAAAGCAGTTGCCTTAAACCCCCCAACCAAGGGCCTGACCTCGGCGGCCCCCGCGCCCCCCAAGCTCTCCCCCTGCTGCCACTCGCCGGCCCTGCGGCACCAGGCCAAGTGCCCGGTGACCCTGCCCACGGCCCCCTGCACTTTACCCGCCTGCCCCGCCGCCAGCCCGGCCGTGGCCCCCCGCTCGCCGGCCACCAGCCCCCTGCCCACCCCCAGCAAGGGCAGTGAGGGCGAGGACGCCCGGGGTGAGGGGCAGCCCCCACGCCGCTACCCCAAACCCCTGGAGCCAGGTGAGTCCACGGCATCGAGGAAGAGGAGGGCGGTTGGGGGGCACTGGGGGGTCCCTGCTGATCGTCGCCTCCTCCCCACAGACCTGCCCCCCGGGTATGGCTACCCTGCCACCGCCATGGGCTACCCCACGGCGCACTCGGCCGAGCCGGCAGACCCCGACCCCGTGCACGCCGGGTCCCCCCCCGCCGAGCCCGAGCAGTCCCGGACCTTCAGCCCCACCGCCGAGGCGCTGCGGGAGCCGGGCCCTCCCCGGGACCCCCCGGCCGAGGGTCCTGGGGTGCTGCTGCACCGCCACCACCTGCTGCTCCCCCCGGGCCCCCTCTGTGGGGAGCGAGGGGCAACACCGGCCGCGGGGGGCACCGAGGAACCCTTCGGGGGGCACCGGGAGGCGGCTCAGGGAGCGCCGGAGCAGCCGGAGCAGCAGCACCCTGTGCCCGGGGTGGGGGGCTCCCCGCTGCCCCCCACTGCAGAGGAGGAGGAGGAAGAAGAGGAGGAGGAGGAAGAAGAAGAGGAGGAGGAAGAAGAGGAGGAGGAGGAGGAAGGCGACAGCGATGGCTTGGAGCTGGAGGGCAGCTGCGATGAGGAGGAGGATGGTGATGTCCCCGTCAGGCACCAGGGCTGCCCGGGCGGGCTGGAGGCTCTGATCGCCGCCGGCATTGACCTGGGGGAGCTGCCAGCACTGGACGAGCCCGAGGAGCCTCCCCCTGCACCCCCTTCGCCCGCCCCACATCCCTCAGGGATCCCCGGCATCGCCCTGCTCAGCGAACTCGCCGACCTGGAGCTGCGCCGGCGCCGCTGCGACCTGGCCAGGGAAGGTGGGTGACCTCCAGTGCCCCCATCACCTCTCAGTGCCCCCGGTGCCCGCTGGTACTCACTGGCATCCTCTCATAGTCCCTGGTGACCCCAGTCATCTCTGGTACACCCCAGAGCCTCCACGTGTCCCCAGTGCCCCCTGGTGCACCCCAGTACCCCCGGCAGCCCCTGGCACACCCCAGTGCCTCCAGTACACCCTGTTCCACGGGCGTGGCAGGCTGCATTCCATGCCATGCAGGCTGCATTCCATGCCATGCTGCCGTGCCATGCCCCACTCGAAGCCGGGGCTCTGCTCCAGCGCTGGCTCCAGGCAGGCGCCGGGATTCCCTCCCCGCTCGGCTTCCCCAGGGAATCCCAGGGGCCCCAGCAGGGATGGCCGCTCGCTGTCCTGGCGCGTCCTCATTCCTGCGGGTGTGTGGGAGTGTGGCGGGGGGATCCCATACTGAGTGTGGAACGGGAACACCGTGGGGTGAGGGGTTGGCTGTGGGGTCCCACTCCCCATAAGAGGTGTTGGTAGGATGGGGCAGAGGGGTGGCCGTGGCGTCCCACTCCCCACAGAGGGGGTGGCCAGATGGGGCACGTTGTGTCCCTCCTGACCAGAGCCGAGGGTCTGCTCCCAACGTGGAGTCTGGGATGTCTGTCCCTGCTGACCCCATCCCGTCCCCGCAGGTGAGGATGAGGAGCTGCTGGCCTTCAACCTGCAGAACCTGGCCACGGTGGCGGCCGCCTGGTCACTGGTGGAGGCGGCGGGGCGGGAGGGCAGCCCCCCCGCGCTCAGCCCCCTGCCCGCCTCGCCCCCGCCCCGCGCCCGCGTCCCCCGCCGCAAGTACACCTGGACCCCCAAAACCAAGGCCGTGAGTGTCTCCCGGCGGGGGCGGGAGGTGAGATGAGTTGTGCCCGGTCTCAGCCCTGCGGCCGAGGCTGTTGGCACTGCCAGCGGTACCAGCGGCCTCCAAACGCCCCCCGTCCCCCCAGGTGTGCCCGCTGAAGGCGGCCATGGAGCAGCTGAACACGCAGGAGGTGGAGGTGCGGATGCGCCTGGCCGAGCTCCAGCGCCGCTACAAGGAGAAGCAGCGGGAGCTGGTGAGGCTCCAGCGGCGCCACGACCACGAGTACGTCCTGTCCCGTCCCCTCCCTGAGGCTGGGGCAGCACGGGCAGTTAATCCGTGTGATGAGTTTGGGCCTGTCCTCAGCCTGACGGGGAGGGGGCTCTGCTCATGGTGCCCCCGGTTTTCCAGGCGTGACGAGAGCTCCCGGAGCCCGGCGCGGCGCGGGCCGGGGCGGCCAAGGAAGAGGAAACACTCCAGCACTCTGGGCAGGGCTGAGAGCCGCAAGGTCAAGTGAGTGACCGGTGCCACGGGACCCTCTTGACCGGGGGGTCTGACCCTCCTGGTGTGCGCAGGGGCCCCCCCATTACATCCCTATTGCACCCGCCTCCATTGCACCCCAATCCCCTGCCCTGTTTGGGAGGGTTCATCCACTCATTCCTGTGGAAGATGGGAGGGTCTGGATGGGAACAGCATTCCATGGAGCCCCGTGGCATGGAGTGACCCCCCCTTTCTACCCCCCTTTTCCTACCTGGCACATCCCATTCCCCATTCGTTCTCCATAAATCCTGTGTGCTCAGCTGAGCACTGGGAAGGTGTGTGGGAGTGTTGGGGGGTCCCAGCCCCCCCTTGTTAAATTGTTGCTTAATGGGGTCACAATTAAGATAGAAAGGAGAAAAAAATTAGTTTCCAGGTTCTGTGTCACAAACTATCGGTAGGGATGGGGAGCAGAGCAGGGAGATGGCAACTGGGTGGTGCAGGAGCCAGCCAGGGTGGGGTACAGGATCCATTTGGGATGAGGTACAGGATTCCTCTGGGGGATGCAGGATGAAGCTGAGGGGTGCAGGATTCCTCCAGGGGTGCAAGACTCCTCTGGGGTGTCTGCAGACACTGTGCCCACACTGTGCTCCCCCAGGGCAGTGAAGACCAGCCTGTCCCTGCTGTGTGCTGAGCTGAGGGGGGACCCCGAGCCCCAGAAGAAGAGGAGCAAACTGTCAGGTGGAACCTTCAGCAGCCTCCAGGGCTCCCCGGTGAGTCCCATGGGATCTGGGGGGTTCTGCTCCCCCCCGAAATGCCCCCTGAGCCCCCCCAGAGCGGGGTCCCCTGCCCTGTGTGGTGGCTGACGGGGTGTTGCAGCTGAAGCAGAAGGTGAAGGGCAAGGGGCTGCCCCCCGGCCTCAGCCCCTTCCGCCGGAGGGACCCCAACCCCAGCGCCCGCATCCAGAAGAAGCTGAACCGACCCAAGGGCTCCAAGGGCTCCAAGTACCAGGGGCAGGACCCCGGCCCCCGGCAGCCACCCCATTTCAGAGGCAAGGCGGGCACAGGGATGGGGTTTTGGGGTTGGGATGGGGGTGTGGGGTCTGGGATGGGGGTGTGGCGTCTGGGATGGGAACAACAGGGCAAGATTAGGATGGGGGGCATGGTCAGGATGGGGATCCAGTTGGGGTGGCGGTGTGAGGTTGGGGTTGGGGTCTGGCATGGGAACAGGGGTTCAGAGTCTGGGCTGGGTGTGCTGGGTGCAGCATGAGGATGGGGATCCAGGGGCCAACCACGGGACTGGGGTGCAGGATTCAGCACGGGGGTGGGGGTTCAGAGTCCAGCATGGGGCTGCAGAAGGTTCAGGACAGGAGTGGGGATCACACGTGACTGCAGCTCACCCCATCCTGTGCTGAGGGTGCAGGGGCCACCCCTGGGTGCACAGGGGTCCCTCACTGCTGTCCTCTGCCCTTGCAGATGAGCCCGAGGGGGACACGGACAGTGAGGATGAGGAGCCGGGGCTGTCCCTGCCCACGGGGCCGGTGGCTGTGCTGGGGCCCTCCCCATCCTCCGTGGTGAAGATGGAGGCCAACGAGAAGGCCAAGAAGAAGAAGGAAAGGCAGGGGCTGCTAGGTAATGAGATGACCCTGGGAATGCCATGGGGCACAGGGGCAAGGACCCTGCAGTACATGTGCCAGGTCTGGGTGGGCAACTGGGGGGTATCTCAAACCCCGTCACTTTTGTGGGGTACCCTGAGCCCTGTCCCCCCTGTGCAGTGCCTGGTCCCCAGACCCCCGTGGAGTGCCCCAGTCCCCCTGTGTCCTTGGGGTGTCCTGATCACTGTGCCTCCATGGGATGCCCTGATCCTCACGGGGTGCCCCGGTCCCTGTGGGGTGCCCTGACCCCTGTCCCCCCCAGGTCCCTGCCGCCTGGGCAGCCCCGAGGGGGAGGTGAAGATCAAGCGGCGGCCGGTGAAGCCGGGGGGTGCCGGGAAGCTGGAGAAGGTGCCGGGGCGGCGGAAGGCCGGGGGCTGCCCTGAGGGCAGCAAGAAGAAGCTGAAGGCCAAGAGCAAGGAGAGCCTGCGGCCCCCAGCCCCCGGCGGCCCCAGCCCCACGGGACCCCCTGGCAGCCTCTTCGGGGGCACGGACCCCCGGCTCCTGGGGCCACGGGACGAGGGGGTTCGGCTGGGAGAGAGGGGCAAGAAGGGCACCCGCAAGAGCAAGGGGCTGCAGGCAGCCCTCAGGGTGAGTGGGGGGCTGGGTGTGGGATTTGGATGGGCTGGGGGGCACCAGTGGGACCGGGGTGTGCAGGGGCTGAGGGTACTTGGGGTCATTGGGGTTTGCAGTGAGACGGTGTGGGTGCTTGGGGTACTGGGGTAGTTGGGGGGTGCTGCAAGGACCACAGAGTGCAGAGGGTGGGATGTGGGGTTTGGATGGGCTGGAGGTGCTGGGGTGGTTGGGGTGGGCACCGCTGGGACCATGGGGTGCAGAGCTAGGAGCAGGGGCTGGGGGTTCTGTGATGGTTGGGGGTGCTGGGAGCACTGGTGGGACCATGGAGTGCCAAGGGGTGGGTGCAGGTTTTACACAGGCTGTGGGTGCTAGTGGAGCTGGGAGGCACCACTGCAGGGACTGGGGTGGTGGGAGGCACACCGGGGGGGCTGGGGTCACACTGGGGGGCCATCAGCCAGTCCTGACCCCCTGTCTTGCAGCGCAAGAACGGGGCGCTCTCGTTGGCCCTCTCCCCCCGGAGCGCCAAGACCATCCTGAGCAAGGGCAAGAAGCTGGCCAAGGTCAAGAGCAAAGTGACCACCAAGCAGGTGAGATCCGGGGGACCTCCCCCAACCCTGACACGGCCCCCCCGTACCCCCTACTCACCCCTGCCCCCTCCTGCAGTGCAAGGGCCGGGCAGTCAGCAAACTGCTGGAGAGCTTCACCGTGGAGGACGACTTCGACTTTGACGACAACAGCAGCTTCTCAGAGGAGGAGGAGGAGCTGGGGGGCTGCCTGGCAGGGGGGACACGTGGGCAGGTCCCCCACGCCTGCGCCATCCAGAAGGAGGATCTGCGGGATGGGCTGCACATCCTGATTCCCAAGGAGGACAGTCTGCTCTACGCCGGCAGCGTCCGCACCATCCAGCCCCCGGACATGTGAGTGGGGGCTTCAGGGGGTCCCAGCCCTGGGGGGTGTCCCAGCCTTGCAGGGGGGTGCAAGGTGGGTGCTGAGCCCCCTCTGTGCCCCCTCCCCAGCTACAGCATCATCATCGAGGGCGAGCGGGGGAACCGGCAGCGCATCTACTCACAGGAGCAGCTGCTGCAGGAGGCGGTGAGTGGAGGCTTCGTGGGGGGTCAGGGTGGGGGGTCAAGGTGGGGGTCCCCACCGTGGGCAGAGCCCAGCACAGTGCTCCCTGCAGGTCCTGGACGTGCGGCCGCAGTCCCGCCGCAGCCTCCCCCCCGGCACCCGCGTCTGCGCCTACTGGAGCCAGAAATCCCGGTGCCTGTACCCAGGGAACGTGGTGCGAGGTGAGGCTGGGCAGGGAGCAGTCTGTGGGGTGGGGGGTGTCGGGGACCCCCTGCCCATCCCAACATCCCTCCCGTGCCGCAGGCTCCTCCAGCGACGAGGAGGAGGAGGACACCGAGGCCGTGCTGGTGGAGTTCGACGACGGCGACACCGGACACATCGCGGTGTCCAACATCCGCCTGCTGCCCCCCGACTTCAAGATCCAGTGTGAGGGGCCGGGGTGGGATCACGGAATTAGGGGGGATGGGTGTGGGGCACAGGGCAGCCCTGACTCTCCTGCTCCCCACAGGCACTGAGCCCTCCCCAGCACTGCTGGTGTCCAGCTCCTGCCGGCGGGCGAAGCGGGCGTGTGGCGACGTGGGCACCCCTGGAGCACTGCCCCCCACGCTGTGCCCGGATCACGGCCCTCAGGCCTCCCGGAATTCCGGCAGGAAGGCATCAGGAAAGGAGAAAAGCGGTATGGGGGGACGAGGAGCACCCATGGACTACCTGCCTGGGTGGGATGCAAGGAGAGGTGTTGGGATGGGGAGAAGGGGGCTGGGATACAGGGAAAGGTGCTGGTATACAGCAAAGGATGTGAGGGTGTGGGGAAGGGTTTTGGCATGGGGAAAAGGCACTGGGATGCAGAGAAAAGTGCTGGGATGCAGGAAAGGGAAGGAGTACTGGGATGGGTGGACGGGTACTGGGGTGAGGAAAGGGGTGCTGGGATGTGGGGAAGGCTGTTGGGATGCTCCCTCTGTCCCTCCATCCTCTGGCTCCCCTGACCCCTCTTCTCCCGCAGGCAAAGCCGTGGAGGGGCTGTCGGGGGGCCGGGGGCCGGCACTGAGCGACGCCACGGCCGGGCGGCGCGGGGGGTCCCTGCTCAGCTGGGCAGCCATGGCACAGACCAAGCGGAAGGCGGTGAGCAAGGGCTCGGCCGTGCTCCAGAACCTCTTCCAGGTCAACGGCAGCGCCAAGAAGCTGCGGGCCAAGGAGACCCTCTTCCCGCTGCACCACCACCACCACCACCTCGCCGCCCCCGTCTTCGGCAACGCCTTCAGCGCCGACTCCTTCAGCCGCATCGCCAGCTCCTACGGCTCCTTCGGCGCCGGCGCCGGGCTGGTGCTGCCCGCGGCACAGAAACTCCTGCGCTCCAAGAAGGCCGAGCGGCTGGAGGCGGAGGTGGGCAGGAGCGGGCGCAGGAAGGCGGCAGGCGGCGAGTTCCTGGTCAAGCTGGACCACGAAGGGGTGACGTCCCCCAAGAACAAGACGTGCAAGGCGCTGCTCTTGGCCGAGAAGGACTTCGGGGCCAGGCTGGAGCGGCCGCTGGGCAGCCACAGCTACGGACACGCCGGGCTGGGTGGCCGGGAGCGGAGGGGCCGCGCGGCCGCGCATCCACTGCCCGTGGGGCTGGCGCTGCGCAAGTACTCGGGGCACGGGGACTTCTCCCTGAACTGCGACAGCGACTGCCACAGCTCCTACTCGGACATGGACGAGGACGAGGACGCGGCGGGGCTGGGCGCCGACGTCCCCTCGCGCTTCATGACGCGCCTCTCGGTGTCCTCCTCTTCCTCGGGCTCCTCCACCTCCTCCAGCTCCGGCTCCATCTCCACGTCCAGCCTCTGCTCCTCGGACAATGAGGATTCCTCCTACAGCTCGGAGGACGAGGACTCGGCGCTGCTGCTCCAGACCTGCCTGTCGCACCCGGTGCCGGCGCTGCTGGCGCAGCCGGACGCACTGCGGCCCAAGGGCTCTGCGCCACAGCGCTGCTTCCTGTCCAAGGCGGCCGCCGCCGGCCCCAAGGCCAAGCTCAAGCGCAAGGAGGCCCTCAGCTTCGCCAAAGCCAAAGAGTTCTCCCGGCGGCAGCGCCTGCCCTCGGTGGAAAACCGGCCAAAGATCTCCGCCTTCCTGCCCGCGCGCCAGCTCTGGAGGTGGTCGGGGAACCCCACGCAGGTAAGGCGGGCACCCACCCTGCCCCCCTTCATGGGCACCCAGAGCTCGGCACAGCCAGGAGCACTCACTGCTGGGCGCGGTTTGGCAGGGGAGGAGCAGGCACAGCAGAGGGGTGGGGGTGCCTGGCAGGGCACAGGGGTGCACAGAGTGAGGTGCCTGGGGTGTGGGGGTGTGGGCGAAGGGGGCACAGGGGTGCCTGGTCGGGTGTCAGGTGCTCAGGGTGCTGGGCACACCGGCTGTGACACGTGGATGCCCATGCTGGCACTCAGGTGCCCAGCAAAAGGAGCTTGTGACATCTGGGGACAGCAGTTGCAGCACGTGGTTGCCCAGCACATGGTGCTGGTGACACCGGCTGTGTCCCCTGGGCACTGGTGACATTGCCTGTTCTTTCCCTGGGCACTGGTGACACCAGTTGTGTCCCTCAGGCACAGGGCACTGCCCGGGTGCCGTGGGCATACCTGCCCTCGGTGCTGCTCTCCCCCCGCCCCGTGGTGGCGGGTTTGGGGGTCCCTGTGCCCCCCCCTGAGCCCGTGTCCCCCCCAGCGGCGCGGCATGAAGGGCAAGGCGCGGAAGCTGTTCTACAAGGCCATCGTGCGGGGCAAGGAGACGCTGCGCGTGGGCGACTGCGCCGTGTTCCTGTCGGCCGGGAGGCCCAACCTGCCCTACATCGGCCGCATCGAGAGCATGTGGGAGTCCTGGGCCAGCAACATGGTGGTCAAGGTCAAGTGGTTCTACCACCCCGAGGAGACCAAGCTGGGCAAGCGCCAGAGCGACGGCAAGGTGAGGGTGGGGCGGGGGCAGCTCTGCCGGGCGGTGGTGTCAGGTGGCCACACGTCGTGCCAAGTGGTCATGTGCCGTGTCGCGTGGCCACGCGCCGTGTAAGGTGGCCGTGAGCCGTGCCGGGCAGCCCCACACTGTGCCAGGTAGGCACACGTCGTGTCAGGCAACCCTGTGCCAGGCCAGGTAGCCACGTACCATGTCAAATAACCACGTACCGTGTCATGTGGCCACACATCATGTAAGGTAGCCCTGAGCCGTGTCAGGTAGCCCCACAGTGTACCAGGTAGCCACGTGACATGTGATGTAGCCACACACCAGGCCAGGTAGACACAGACCACCTCAGGTAGCCGTGTACCATGTCAGGTAGCCACATGTCATGCCGGGTACCACGTGCCATGTCGGGTAGCCACGTCCCACATCAGGTAGCCATGTACCGTGTCATGCGGCCACGCACCATTCCAGCTGTGTCCCACGCCAGGTAGCCACGTCTCGTACCAGTTAGCCACGTCCCATGCCAGATAGCCATGTCCCACCTCAGGTGGCCATGTCCCACCTCAGGTGGCCACGCCACGTGCTGTGGCCGTGACGGTGCCTTGTCCCCGCAGAACGCGCTGTACCAGTCGTGCCACGAGGACGAGAACGACGTGCAGACCATCTCGCACAAGTGCCAGGTGGTGGGGCGGGAGCACTACGAGCAGCTCACGCGGGGCCGGAGGTACCAGGACCGCCAGGACCTCTATTACCTGGCGGGCACCTACGACCCCACCACGGGCCGCCTGGTGACCGCCGACGGGGTGCCCATCCTCTGCTGACCCCCCCTGGGGGTGCCCATCCTCTGCTGACCCCCCGGGGCTGCCCACCCTCTGCTGACCCCCCCAGGGATGGGGACGGGGACCCCCCCTCTGCGGGTCCTGCCCGGCTCTTATGCAAAGCCCGTGGTGACATTGGGGGGGGGGTTGGGGGGGCCCAAGGGGGAGGGGGGGGGGGGGGGGGGCTCCCCTACAAGCCATAACTTTCCCTAGTACCTCTGACTGTTTGCCAGCAGGTGAAGCAGAAATCAGGTGTGTTGTTCTATTTATTTTGCCTGTAAATATTGTATTTCTTCCGGGAAGTTTTATGGAAAACCGAGAAAGGACAAAAAAAAAAAAAAAAAAAAAAAA